TCCTCCGCGCCGCCGCCGACACCCCCACCGCGCCCCCCGCGCTCCCGCTCCTCAGCTGAATAATCGGATGCACATTCGCGTTCGTCGGGCTCCTCCCCCCGGCGTCGTCCTCCCTCCCCCGGAGCGGCGCCAGCTCAATGCGCGCCCCCGGGCTGCGCAGCGCGCCCACCTGCCCCTGCGGCTGCTGCACCGGCCCCGGCCCCACACCCACACCGACGCCGGGACCCACGGGCACGACGCCCACGCCGGGCGGCGGCCCCTGCTGCGGCACGGGATACTCGCCCCACTGCCCCTGCGGAACCTGCGGCACCTGCGGCGGCGCGAACCCGCTCGGCGGCGTCCCCCACGCGTGCGCCTGCTGCTGCTGCTGCTGCTGTTCCGCCGGCGCATGATGCTGCTGCTGCGGGTACCCGTAATACGGTGGCGGTGGCGGCGGGGGCGCATGCGCGTACGGGCGGTACGTCGCATACTGCTGCGGGGGCGGCGGTGGCGGGCGCCCGCCATTCCCATTCCCATTCCCACCCCCATTATTCCCGTTGTTGTTGTTACCACCGCCATTGGGATTGTTGGTATTATTATTTACGTTCGCGGCGTGCCCATTATTCGGGTTCCCGCCCACCCCCGGCGTCCCCGGCGCGCTCGCCAGGCTGCTGCCATTGTTCCCATTCCCATTCGGATTCGGCGGGGCGCCCATGGGATACCCCGGCGCGGGGCCCCCATTCGGGCCCACCGCGCCTGGATACTCCCCGTACTGCGGCTGCGGCTGCTGCTCGTAGTACGGGTAGTGGTGCGGGTGGTGTGGGGGCGGCGGTGGCGGCGGCGGCGGCGCGTACCCATAATCGTACCGCAGCGGGGGGGCGTACTGCTGGTGGTGGTGCGCGTGCGCGTACGGGTCGCCGTACGGCTGCGGCTGCTGGCCCCAGCCCTGGTGCATCGGCGGGGGCGGTGGGGGCCCGTACGGGTAGTAGTGCCCCGGGTGCGCTGGGTGCTGGTACTGGGGCGGCGGCGGCGGGACGCCGTACCCCATGTGCGGCGGCGGGGGTGGGGGCGGCATCGGGTCCGCGCGGTATCCGGGCGGCGGCGGGGGCGGGATAATCTGCTGCTGGCCGGGGTGCGGCTGCTGTTGGGGGTGCTGCTGTTGCCCAGGGTGTTGCTGCTGGCCGGGGTGCTGTTGTTGCTGTTGCTGCTGCTGCTGTTGCTGCTGCTGTTGATCATACGGCGCGTACCGCCCATCGTACGTGTCGGGCGGTGGCGGCGGCGGCGCAATCACCGGCACGCCCCCCTCCGCCGACGCGGGCGGCAGCGCACTGGGCAACGGCGCCGTCGGCCACGCAGCCCCCACGGGCGGCGCACCGCCCGTGTTGCCTCCCATCGCATTATTCCCATTGCCACTCCCACTCCCGCTCGCCCCAGAATTATCGTCCGTGCGACTGCGCTTCGCGGGGCGCTTGTCCCCGTGCTTGTCGTGCGCGCTCTTGTCCTCCGGTGGGTCCGGGTCCTGGAGAACAACATAGCCGTCAGCAGTGCCGGTGGGCCGTGGCGTAGCGTGCTATACTACTCGCTGCAGCAAGTAACAACCGCGGGAGTAGCAAGTACCGATCGCTGAAGCAGCAGGCACCATTCGCAGGAACAGTTGCTCGCAGTCGCAGCAAGACACCAACGCCTTCACACAACAACAAAACAAAACCAACAACTCACCACAGTCGGCATCGGCAGCGCCGCATCCGTCGACGGCAAACTGTGCGCAAGCGGGCGCTCCAAGCCCTGCACGCGCGCCTTGCGCATGCGGATGTCCTTGCGGATGCGTATTTTGATGCCCTGGTCCGCAAGGGAGCAGGTGAGGGGGGAGGATTCTAGCATGATGCGATTGTGGTTAGTTTGGTATGAATAAGGTGAGATGGGATTAGGACGAGGTGAGATGAGGATTAGGACGAGATAGAGGGGCGCAAGATACAAGGACAGAGAGCGTGCGAGGAAGACGTCCAGGAGAAAGGGAATTCCACGTCGGACAGTATCCCGTCTGACTACACAACGGCAATGACCGCTCTACGGGGATGATGACCAGTCAGGCGCATAGCCACAGATGACCGGTCGGGCGCATCGCAGACAACCGCCGGCCGCCGGCGCGCACCGCGTTCAGGCTCCAGGCGATCTCTCGACGCTGCGAGGCCTAGTGAGGCGCAGAAAGTTCGGTGTCTAGCTCCGGCCAGGCCCGGCCGGTCGTCGATCTAGGCCATGCCTCGCAGGGTCTCGGCTAGGAGCCAGTTCCAGACAAAACACGCCCCATCTCTCGCGCCCCAAAATAAAAACCTGTCCACCGAAGAAGCAGTAGCAGTCGGGGGAACAGCCCGCAGGGCGAATAACGGCTCTGCCTTATCTACGCCAGGGGAGCCAAAGAAAAACGCAAAAAACCAGAAAGAAAAGAAAACCACAAACGCACCTTCCACCCCCGGGAACTTCTTCGCCGTGTACACATAGAACGGCGCCGAGTAGATGGACTTGCAGTGCCGCACGTCGTTCCTGCGCGAGGGAGGGCCAACGTTAGTCGTTTGTTTTGTTTATTAGTAGTGAAGGGTTATTAGTAGTGAGGGAGGGATGGGGGGGATGGGGTAGGAGAGGGGATGGCAGGAATGTCCCCCGCAACAAACGTCCGCGGGCACCAAAAGTCTGGGCCACACGACGCGACAGGCGACGAATCGCGCATCGGGGCCCTATGGACGTACGGGGGAAGAGGGGCGATGGGACGGGCGACGAAAGAGACGAACGCGCATCAGCGCCCAATTGACGGACGGACGCCACGCAAACGCATCCCTCCACACCCCCAAAAAAAAGGTAACGAAAGAAAACGCAAACGCACCCAACGACCTCGAACAGGCTGAGCTTGAGGCGGTAGCTGCCCTCTGTGCGCACGGAGAGGTCGGGGAAGACGAAGAAGCCGGCGTCGGTGGCTGGTTGGGCTATGCGGGGGTGTTTAGTATGTTGGAGAGGGGAGAGGAGGAAAGGGAGGGGCGAACGGGGTCGCAGAGGGTGAAGAAAAGGCGCGCGATGAGACGGAGGGGGAAGGATGGGCACGATGAGGAAGGGACGGGGCGGGAGGCAATTTGGAGAGTGGTACATAGGGGGGTGGATGAATGAAGGCGGCGGAGTGAGGGGAGGGGGTGTGTGGAGTGTGAGGGAGTGGGAGATTGAGCGGCGCCTCCGTCTTCAGAACAGCGTGCTCTCCCCCCCCCCCCAAAAAAAAAAAGAAAAATCGAAGTGGGGGGCACAAAGAGTCAAGAGCGACGTACCGGTGGTGGGCGAGCCGGGTGCGGCGGTGGCGGCAGGCGTGGCGGTGGGGTCCTTGAGGGCATAGAGGGACGAGACGACGGAGCCAGTCGTGCAGCGCGTGCGGCCGTCCTGCGTGATGTATCCATCCATCAGCATCGATTGTGGATGATGATGATTGCGGGTGGCCCACCTTGAGCCAATGCAGCTCCATATCGTCGTCCGGCTTCGCTAGGCTGGCGAACATAAAGTAGTACGGGTTCTGCAGGAAGCTCTGCGCGTAGCCCGCAAGGTTCGCGTACGGCGGCTCCGCGCTCGCCCCGGGCCCGGCGAGGTCCTTGTCGGCGTCGGCCGCGGTGGGGTTGTTGTTGTTGGACGAGGAGGAAGAGGAGCCGGAGGAGGAGGAAGAGGCGGCCTTGTCGTCAGGCGGCGCAGCGGGGTCGATGACGCGCAGCTGCACGATCACGGGCGGGTCGATGGGGCGGCGGTCCGCTACACAATATCAGGCTTCATTCATTCATTCATAGGCTAATTAGCGAGGGGAAGACGCACCCTTTCCCCCAATACCGCACATGCGCGCCTGCTTCGGCTCCTGCCGCACGGTGAGCTCGTACTGCCTGCGCATTGCAAAGGTCAGTCAATATGTGCGCCTTCAAGGGTCTAGCGGAGGTATAGTATGTATGGATGAAATGCGGGAGGGTGCGGTGTCCTGGGTTGTAAGCTTCGAGGCTGGACCCAGAACCAGGCCCACGGACTCGGACCCCGTCAGGAGTCCCCACATGCCCTTCGAGCTTGGCTGTTCCACGCACAGCACCGAGGGAAAGAAGGCAAACTTACAAGCGATTCCTGTCGACTGCATATGTAGCGGGCATCGTCTGCGCGGGCTCGCCGCCATCGGAGTCCATCGCAATTACAAGTGGAGAGGGAGAGACACCGTGGGAAGGCGCTGACATATCCTTCATATCCGGCACGCCCCGGAGAAGAGACCGCGCGCGGCATCACGGCACACGCCAACCGGCGTCCTGGGCAAGGAACGACAACACGGAGAAAGCTTTGCTAATTGTCCTCGGCGCGCGGCGCGTGCTTGTGTCCGTTAGCTTGAACTCGACCTTCGGGATCCACCTTGAGCTCCTAACATCATACACCCTCCGCTGCTTCCTGTCTTCCTCCAATTAACCCAACTTTCAACGTACCGCCCACGCCCCCGGTTCGCCCATAAATAAATATAATCTTGGTTAACACGCTCCGTTCGACTAACATAAGTACTCCGCTCAATCCCCCTCCCCTGTCCCATCTGAGTGTGAACCCACGACGTCAACGCCATCCTGTCCTATTCACGTCACATTCTGCAGCCTGCTAAGTACAAAACAAGCACCCGGACGTGCGAACGAGCCGGGTGTCGGGACTCGGGCGTGCGAACGGGCCCACCCTCCGGGACTTCGCCTTTGGCTTGGTACATATGAGGAAGGTGCAGACCCAGAATCCCGGTGTGTGTGTGCGAATTCAAGTCAAGTCTGTTTTTGGCAATGTGAATCAGTTTAAAGTTAGAGGCAATCACCGGTGCCCGGTACACGCGCCGCGGGACTGGTGTACCGCAAAAGGCGGATATAAGATTCGCGAGTCCAGCAGACGTCAAAGCAAAAAATCCAAAAGTCCTGCACACCACTATGTATTGAGATTTTGAATAAAACAAAAAAAAACCATCCCCAACACAAAAAGACGACAATAGCAGCGAATGACCCAGCCCTGATTCGAACAGGGATCACCTGCATTAATGACATGACATATGCTCCACAAAAAGCAAGCATGTTACCGTTACACCACTGAGTCCTAAATTCCTTCTGCCACAGATAATCAAGGTAGATTACGACACACCACCGGATCGTGGCATCCGAGATTTTGATTGGTTGAACAAAAATGAAAATAAAAATAATGACCCAGCCTTGAGTTGAACAGGGGACTCTTGCACAGCTGAAAGTGTTGGACTGATTTTAAGCAAGTGTGTTACCACTGCACCACCAGGTCCTTACTGACAGCCCATCTTCGAGATTTTGGTGGCTGAACAAAATAAAACAATTCTACGGATGAAAAAATAGGATGACCCAACCCCGAGTCGAACAGGGATCTCTTGCACAAACATTTTTCCCCAACAGCTATGTTGAGCAAGAGTGTTACCATTACACCACCAAGTCTTTGGTGCCATCCTAAATTCGACATTTTGCTAGCTGTATAAAATAAACAATCCTACGGAAGAAAAATAAAACAGATGACCCAACCCTGAGTTGAACAAGGATCTCCTGCGGACACGGTCAGCAATGAGTTACCTTGAGCAAGTGTGTTACCATTACACCACCAGGTCCTTGGTATATCATCCCATCTTCGAGATTTTGGTGGCGGAACAAAAAATAAAACAGTTCTACGGAAGAAAAATAATGACCCAGCCCCGAATTGAACAGGGATCTCTTGCATAACACATTTCAACTTACACTATCTCAATCAAGTGTGTTACCATTACACCACTGGATCCTTCCTTTCCCCACAAATAACCAAGTGAACACAATGAATTCCGAAACAAAATAAATAAAATATACAACCCAACCCTGAATTGAACAGGGATCTCTTGCAGACATTTGTAGTTTCCCTGTCTATTGTATACAAGTATGTTTCCACTACACCATTGGGTCTTCTCTGTTGAAGAACAATGATATGAGATTCTGGTTGAACAATTCAAATTTGACACAAAATAAAATAAAAGGAATGACCCAGCCCCGAGTTGAACAGGGATCTCTTGCACAGGCAAATATTGAGCACTTATTTTAAGCAAGTGTGTTACCACTACACCACCAGATCCTTGGTATCACCCCATCTTCGAGATTTTGGTAGCTGAATAAAATAAAACAATTCTACGGGTGAAAAAGAATGACCCAACCCCGAGTCAAACTTGCACAAACATTTTATTGCACCAATTATGTTGAATAAGTGTGCTACCACTACACCACCGGGTCCTTAACTTAAACAAAAATAACATTTAACTCAACCTCAATGGAAAAATGAAATTCACCACAAAAATAAAATAAAAATATGACCCAACCCTGAATTAAACAGGGACTCTTGCACAACGTATTCCTGTCCATGTTATTGTACACAAGTATGTTTCCGCTACACCACTGGAATTGAGCATCTACCCAGATCTGAACGTGGACACGGTGGAACAAGCAATGGTGGCGGTGAAGAAGTCTATGGAGAGTTGGATTTACGACTCAATTATATCATCTTCTCGTGTGAAGGATATGCTAGAGGGACGGCTAGAACTGGACTCGCCTTCGGGAAAATTAGTGAAGAAGATCTTGGAGTTCCGCCATTACCTGCACATCAAGGTGAAGAATCTATATGAAGTTTGATTAAGCACTTGATGTCTCAACGAATAATCCGGATTGATGGCTGATTTGCTAAACAATCTGCAACGGCCTTGTACTAGGCAGAATGCTGTTTAAACAGCTGTTAATCTAATCAGGTTAAACGGAACGAGGGTGGTTTAAACGGTGTTTAAAGGGGCCAAAAAGGACTTTTACACTGGGGTTCAAACCCAGAGCTCAAGGAACCAATTACATAAACAACCCAGCGGACCAGCAAGAATCTGACTGAGCCAACACGAAGTGATGGTTGGAGACTATAATGGTCTTTAATTAGGGCTGTGGGGCCGGTACAAAGTGTTGAACTTTCTGTTCTGAGTTCAACTGGGCTCAAGCTGGGATTAAACATGCTTACAACGACTGTTTAAACACAGTTAAGACTGCTGGAAATACGGGGGCAATGCTGTAACAGTATTATTACAGCCGTTTGCAGAACTTAGGGCGCAGCCTTTTTTTCTTTTTTTTGTCAGTTTTCTTTCACCCAGCGATACCGAGCTCAATTCTTTTCCATTTGGCTTAAAAATAGGCCCATTGTCTCGGGAGTGAAAATGCTCCCAATAGATGCGAAAAAAAACACTACCTAACACCAAGTGCAAAAAAATACCTTGCTGCTTAGTAACATACTCTCCTAAACCAGGAAAGGTCCAAGCGACACATTTCTGCTATGAGGTGGTTTGGGGTGGGCCCCAGCTTATCTATGAGGTGTTATCAGTGTGTTCCATGTCAACATAGAGCTGTAGAAGAATACCCTGAGTCTCTGACTGAGACTTGGGGGTACCCAAATGTTGCAAGGCAAGAATATCAAATGGAGTGAACAAGGATAACTGATGAATGGCTTTTTCAATTAATCCAGTTAATGACTCTATAAGACTTCAGTCAGGCCGAAACAATTAGAAAAGGCCTTAATAAAAGACCATTATAATACTCAAACATCACTTCATATTGGCTCAGTCAGATTCTTGATGGTCTGCTGGGTTGTTTATGTAATCAGTTCATTGAGCTTTGGGTTCGAACCTCGGTGTAAAAGTCCTTTTTGGCCCGTTTGAACACTGTTTAAACCGCCCGGGACCGCCGTCGTTCCGTTTAACCTGATTAGATTACACAGCTGTTTAAACGGCATTCTGCCCAGCAAAAGGCCCTTGCAGATTGTTCAGCAAATCAGCCATCAATCCGGATTATTCGTTGAGACGCCAGTTGCTTAATCAAACTTCATATGGTTACTGACAAGGTGCCAGAGCACTGCTGAACCTTGACATGCATGATTCTCTCCAGCCATTCCTTGGCTGTGGAGCGCCGGCGGTGTAAGGAGCGCAGAAAGCCCGTCGTCCCGAAGGAATGGCGCCGTTGTCGTTTCTGCTATGTGCACATTGAAGACCTTGCCCATGCACTGTTTGTATGCAACAATCCTGACTTGGTAGAGCTCCGGAGGATTTTTACACAAAAAGTGGACCAAGAGCTGCCCGGACTCACTGCCCAATTCAGCCAATCTGCATTGCAGCTCTTCAAAGGTCTCCTAGCTCGGCGGGAGATTACACCGCTATTGGGAAAATTGGTGTTCGATGTCCAGAAGATCTTCGATGCAACCGCAATTCTCCTCGTTCATGAGCCAACGCTGCGAGGGTGACATCCCAGCTGTTCAACTGCTGCTTTACCTCAAGAATGCAAGCTACAACTCATTTCAACTCCTTTCTCAGGCCACGAGACGTTTCATTGTCGGCTGTGGACCTTCCTCGGAAGTTGAACACGCTGACTTGTGGTCTTGCATGTACTCTGCAAAGGGAAGACATACGACAGCTTGCTGCTGACTGGTGAATTCTGGGGAATTTTACCTGGGAGGAGGGTGCCTCCTCCCATACACTTGTGCCTTTGGCTCGTGGTCAGGTCCCACGAGGTTATAACCAGAGGTCCCACATCATCGCCGGCCAGTCACAGTATGCCAGCGTCTTGTGTGATCAATCCCCTGGAATGGTGTTGTGCTCAGTTGACATCTTGCAGAATTCTAGAAGGACAAACACCCTAATAGTACTGCTTGTTTGTCTTCTGTAAACTCGTTGTTCATGTTGTGGACCTCGCGAGTATAATATATCCCCCCCCCCCCTCCCCCCCACTGGGCCTCTGAGAATGATGAACTAACATTCTGGCTGAACAAAATAATTAGAAGCTGATAAAAATACAAAATGACCCAACCCTGCATTGAACAGGGGTCTCTTGCAGACGTGGTTAGCAACGAGTTACTTTGAGAAAGTGTGTTACCACTACACCACTGGGTCCTTGATATCATCCCGGATTCGAGATCTTGGTAGCTGAATAAAATAAAACAATCCTACAGAAGAAAAAGAATGACCCAACCCTGAGTTGAACAGGGATCTCTTGGCACAAACATTTTACTGCACCAGCTATGTTGAGCAAGTGGGTTATCACTACACCACCGGACTCTTAGCTTCAACAAAAATATCATTCAAATCAACCTCAATGGAACAATGAAATTTACTACAAAAGTTAAATAGTATGACCTAGCCCTGAGTTGAACAGGGTTCTCTTGCATATATTCAACATACCTTCGTATTGTATGCAAATATGTTACCAATACACCACCGGATCCTTGATGTCATCCCATCTTCGAGATTTTGGTAGCTGAATAAAATAAAACAATTCTACGCAAGAAAAAGAATGACCCAACCCTGAGTTGAACAAGGATCTCTTGCATATAGAACCAGATATGGACTACCTTGAGCAACTGTGTTACCACTACACCACCAGGTCTTATCTATGTCTAAGAACAATGAAATGAAATTCTGGTTGAACAAATGTAATTCCGACACAAAGGAAAAAGAATGCCCCAACCCTGAGTCAAACAGGGATCTCTTGCACAGCATATTCCTGTCCATGTTATTGTACACAAGTATGTTTCCACTACACCACTGGGTCTCTGGGAACAATGAACTGACATTCTAGCTGAACAAATCAAATTTGCCGCACACAAAATAAAATAAAAAAACATGACCCAACCCTGAGGTGAACAGGGATCTCCTGCAAACACTCATTTCAAAATTCCATATTGTATACAAGTACATTTCCACTACACCACTGGGTCTCTGAGAATAATGAAATGAAATTTTAGTTGAACAATTCAAATTTGACACAAAATAAACTAAAAAATATGACCCAGCCCTAAGTTGAAGAGGGATCTCTTGCATGCTTCACGTTAACTTGCACTTATCTCAAGCAAGTGAATAACCAAATGAAGTGGATCGAATTATAATGTGGTGAATTCCGAAACAAAACAAAAGCAATGACCCAGCCCTGAATTGAACAGGGATCCCTTGCATATTTGGGTTGACACAGTAAAGTTTTAACAAGTGTGTTACCATGGGTCCTTCCTCCACATAAGGATGACATGCTCAACCTAAACATGATATTGTGCGATTAACAAAGCATTGAATTTAGAACCCGTCAATGCAATACTTAACTTATTTCGGTCAGTCGACTTCCGGGCAATTCACCAGCTTAAAAGTTAAACCAGAAAGTGTTTGCAAGTGCCGGCCGAAAGGCGGAAGTTCAACTGGGATTCATATCGGGAACGTCAATGGCTTGACGGCCCTATCTTGAAATCTTGACAAATACCGACAAAGTTTCACCATTGCCAGGAAATCTCGAGACCAAGCTGCAAAGAACCATCCCACCAAAGCTTACCAAATTTAGGGGCAGCTGGGGTGCTATTTGAAAATCCAAGAACAGAATTAAGGATAAAAACCAACTGAAACTGGAGATGATTCCAGTAATTTCAACTTCATCTAATAATCGAACTGAAAGTTCATTGATAAGCTGCAATTTAGCTCCACCGAAGTTTTTTTGAAACTCTGCTAGATGGATTACAAAACAGACTACTATGTCCTGCCGGGAAGTGGGCCACTTGAGAGCAATCGGCAAATAATGACATGGGGCTGTTCTGGACCTGTGAAGTCTGATTGACGGATTTGTGGTGGGCCTCAAGAATTTATTTTCTAGTCTGATACGGCCCCAAGTCCCATGGGCCGACCGATGTGTCTGAATCGTGTCCGCCCCTGGTTTGTAGCTCACTGTAACCACCCAAAGTCATCCTCTCCGCTGTAAATGGATACTAAACTCGTCATGACGAACATATATACCACGAATTTGAATGTAAAATGTGGAAACAAGCCGTGTCTGGCAACTCAGCCAATACTGTTTTGTGGATCGTAAAATCGACCCCAGGGCCGGGAGTCAATGAGGCACAATTTATTCCATCAATTCAATACACCAAACAGCCAGTTAAATGTTCTCCTGCTTGAAATTCGATGAGGGTTACTTGGGGGTCAACGGAGTCCGGTGAGGATCGAGGGAACACCGAGATCCATCACGGTCGACATTCATGGCCTCCATGATGTTCAAGAGAACGCGGGAGCCAACGATTGAGTAGGCACTAGGATATTGGTCAGTTCAAGTGGGATTCAATGGCAATGTAGGTAAGGGCATACACAATGGATGGGCTGCACGCATCCACAAGTCTTAATCGACCACAACTTCATGCGTATCACCAAAGAGCGACGTACATAATCAGCAATCCTTTCAAGCTTTTACGGACGAAGACCCCTATGATTATTGCGGTGGGATGAAGGCTAGGTGGAATATATCAGGTAAGATGCCTCAGGGAATTGAACAGGACGACGAGCCGACAACGGCCAGGAACCAATATATCCCGTCCCGGAGGAATAGGTCAGTCAGGGAGAGTGTATTGCGGGAAGTGAAGCTGACGCCGCGGTGCGACCTGTAGTTGTACAAAGTCATGACGAACATTGCGAACGTCTGTAGAATAATCGTCGGTCTGGCGGAGGTTCAGGAGGATGGGTGTGGACTGACCACAATGAGAGACGGCACTGGATAGAACGCGAAAATTGTGGGCACAGCTGGAACAAGAAGCGTGAGGTGAGAATATGAGGGAGAATGCATGACGGACTCAAAGAATAGCAACCTTTAATCAAAGGTCTGGAGGAAGTCAGCGCTAGTAAAATAAATGTTGATCTCAGATGTACCCAGCATGAACGTAGTCTGGTTTAGTTTAGATAGGCCCGAAGAATCAGAAAGAGGCGTACGGCTGCTTTCCAGGATGGTGTCAATTACGATAAAAAACCTGAGGCGGTCATCAATGTCGTCTCAGTGACTGGGCTGGGTTCACCAACATTGTAACAATTTCGACTGAACATTTAAAATGTCAACAAGAAATAACAGAGAGCAAATCTCATACTAGATATGGAAGGCAAGAGGATGTACAGCAGCAGGCGTGATTTCCTGAACAATATCCAAACTCTTGAGGTAACTGTCAATTTCCAAAAAAAAAAAAAAAAAACTCAGGACCATCTCTGACCTCAAGAGTAGGATGATATCTGAAGTGACGATGATGAGAGTGGCCACCACACCTTGCATCTGGTGTGCTATTAGAAGTATAGTCCAAATTCCAGCTCTGCAACTCACTAGGTCGTAAATGAAACAGCTGAAGGGGGTGAATGTTGAATGGTCAAGTTATAACGGGTGAACAAAACATACGCCTAGATTTCTATTAGAATAGATTTCTAGTGAGGGATGCAAGTCATGCCTTGTCGGATTCAACTTCCCATAGGAGAACTGGCGAAGTGATAGTGAGGCTGAGTTCATGCGGTCGGTTGTAGCTTACCACTGGTGCTAATGCTGGTGAATCCGTGATAAGTGAGCCGCCAGTAATATTTTGAAAGCCTCGCACCAAGTAATTGCAAGGGTGAGGTATCGATTCTAGGTTATCTCAGACGCAAGACATAAATATTAGGTTAGGATAACCGCACCCAAATCTAATGCGAACGTCAACGAGTGTACCGGGAGGTATCCGTGGTCACATACATAGATATAACAGGCCAAAGATTTAGGCCGCATCCATATGAATCGAATCTTGAGGAGCGGAATTCAGCTAGGTACGGGACCAAGTAGGCGAAGCTGATGCACCTCCAGGTCAAAAGAGAGCAAATGATCGTAGCTGAAGGCTTCATGTTAGCCAAGACTCCTCGTTCAGTCAGTTGTAATACATCAAGAATGTCAGTGCGGCGACTGGCACATATTTGTGAGGGAATAACGAATGGCATGGAGTTTGTGGCCTCACCTGCGAAGTAACTGGTAAGCTTGCGATCGCTGGCTACTTGTAGCAACTCTTTCACCGCCTCTTCAGGCAGAGATTGAAGGTATTCGTCCATGCTAGGTGAAGTAGTGTGCGAGAAGGAAAGAACCAGATTGCGTTGTTTAAGACCCACGACGCGGGTCCAAGATATCAGAAGATATCAGATGAGACGGAATAATGTATCATTACATCATCTGCGACAAAAGATCATCTCCAAAGTGGATTAGAATGCTGAGCCAGTTGACCAGACAATCTCCTTACGAGTCAAGTGTTGCGCGATATTGCCAGTGACCTCAAGTGCCGTGCCGGCGGACGGCGCGATTACGCTGCTACCGCTCCTCCTCCTCCTCCTCTTACTCTGAAAGACGGGTATCAATCAACCAACGTGAATAGAGCGCCAGATCCAAAATTTGATGACCCCAAAAAATCTTTGCAACAGCGGAACAATCGATTCTGTTAGAACATTTGGCCCTCGAGCGTCCCCCAGCTGCAAGAACATGCTAGGAATTTCATGGAGTGCAAAGCTGCAGAGTATTTCCGGGCCAGGTTTCCATTTCCCAAAGGCCGATACCCAGGCTCATGGCGGTCAGAAGGAAACAGCTCGAGTGTCGCGTGAGAATGAGAAATTTGACCGTGTTTGGCCGATCAGAGTTCGATTTCCAGCATTTATCGCTGTACCTATACTCGTCTACTGTTTAAATCTCTCTTAACCGGTAACATGACTCTCACACACTTTTTTGGCGACTTCTGGCGACCTCAGCGTCGATTATGTTGCCATGATAGACTAAGACAATGTTTCCTGTAGCGCACTTCAAGTTCCACCTTGATTCTGTGTTTTTCGTTTTCAGCAACTCCGTCCGTGGGTGTTGTGACAGTGATCTCTCGCACATTTGGGCTGGACATTCAACATAGTTAACAAGTGTGTTACTATTACCCCGACAGTTTACAAGGAAGTTCGAAAATAAAAACAATTTAATGGCCCAGCGCTGAACCGCTGAGAACTCACCAATGCAAGAATTTATCTCGGTCAGTCGATCTCGGAGTAATTCGTCATGGGGGAGAGGAAGCGCAAGAAGGAGAGATAGGAAAGGGACAAAGACCGGCGCAAAAAGTGGGAGAAGGGAGGGACGCAGATGGACTGGCAGAGGGAGGGGAAGGGGCGCAAAAGAGAGAGAAAAAGGAGGGCGGGTGAGACGGAGGAGGAGAAGGGAGGCGAGGCATGGGAGATGGAGGCATGGGGGAGAAGGCGCGCAAGGAGATGGAGGCGGGAGCGAAGAGAGAAGAAAGAGTGAGGAGGGGCGGATGGCCACGACTCGGATGAGGAAGGCGAGGGGAGGAGGATGGGAACGGAGCGAGAGAGAGTGGTACATAGGGGGGTGGATGAATGAGGGCGGGGGAAGAACGATGTGGTGTGTGGGGCGTGAGGGAGGATGGGAGATTAAGCAGCCACCATGCCCGCCGCCGTCTTCAGAACAGGATGCTCCCCCCCCAAAAAAAAAAGAAAAAAGCCAAGTTGGAGTAGGGCAACGCACCGGTGGTGGGGGACCCCCAGGTGCGGCGGCGGCGGGCGTGGCGATGAGGTCCTTGAGGGCGTAGAGGGGCGAGACGACGGAGCCAGCCGTGCAGCGGCCGTCCTGCGTGATGCATCCATCAGCATCGATTGCGGGTGGTGATTGCAAGCCCACCTTGAGCCAATGCAGCTCCATATCGTCGTGCGGTATGCCCTTCGAACTTGGCTAATCCACGCACAGCACCGAGGGAAGACAAACTTACAAGCGATTCCTGTCGATTGCATACGTGGCGGGCATCGTCTGCGCGGGCTCGCCGCCATCGGCCCGGGGTCCATCGCAGTTCAAGTCGAGAGGGAGAGACACCGTGGGAAGTCCTTCAAAGAGTCCGGCACGCCCCGAGAAGAGACGGCATAGCGGCACACGCAAACGGCGTTCTGGGCTGAGGACAACACGGAGAAAGCTTGCTAATTGTCCTCGGCGCGCGGCGCGTGCTTGTGTCTGTTAGCTTGAACTCGACCTTCGGGATCCACCTTGAGCGCCTAGCTTCACACACCCCCTACTACTTCCTATCTCCCTCTAATTAACCCAACTTCAACACACCCGCCCACACCCCCGGTTCTCCCCCAAAATAAATATAAAGCTTCGACTCCGTTTGGTTGACACATCCGCTCAATCCCCCTCCCCTAAATCCGGGGAAGTGCGAACCCACGACGTCACGATGCAGGTTCCCATTCACATGTCTAAATTTGTGTGAGCACCGCCGAACCCAAAACAAGCACCCGGACGTGCGAAGGAGCCGGGCGTCGGGACTCGGGCGTGCGAACGGGCCCAGATTCCAGGGCCTCTGCCTTGGCTTGGTACATATATATGAAGAAGTGCAGACCCAGAAACCCGGTGTCTGTATGTGAATTTGAGCCAAGTCTGTTGTGGTGTGAATAGTTAGAGACATCACCAGTACGTACCGTAAAGCACGGCACGCCGCACAGGGACAGGTCTGAGTCTCCACAAGGACGTGTTGGGACTCGCACCGTCATCAGACTGAATAAAGTGAATAAAATAAAAAAACATCCCCAACACAAAAGAACAACAATTGCGGCAAATGACCCGGCCCTGATTCGAACAGGGATCACCTGCATTGCGATGAGAAATAGGACACAACAAGAAGCAAGCATGTTACTGTTACACCACTGGGCCTTAAATTACTTCAGCCACAGAGATAATCAAGGTAGATTACGACACACCACCGGATCGTGGCATCCGAGATTATGATTGGTTGAACAAAAATGAAATAAAAATAATGCTCCAGTCCTGAGTTGAACAGGGAACTCTTACACAGTTGAATGTCTTACAATTATTTTGAGCAAGTGTGTTACCACTATACCACCAGGTCCTTGCTCACATCCCATCTTCGAGATTTTGGTGGTTGAACAAAATAAAACAATTCTACAGAAGAAAAAGAATAACCCAACCCCGAGTTGAACAGGGATCCCTTGCACAAACATTCTATTGCATGAATTATGTTGAATAAGTGTGTTACCATTACACCACCAGGTCTTTGGTGTCATCCCAGATTCGACATTTTGGTAGGTATATAAAATCAAACAATTCTACGGAAGAAAAATAAAACAAATGGGTGACTTTCCATAGCGGTTTAAATATTCCGAGGAGTATCTGAGCTTGTTTGAGAGTGCCAGTGATTGGATCAAACAAGATAGTCGCGCATTTTCTACGGGAAACGCACAAGAAGCATTTTTGAAAGTTGACGTGACATATTTCTGGTATATTTCGATAATTGAGGGATGCTGCCGACCCGCCATGAACCGGATGTTTGGAGCTCGTGATGGTGCCAAATAACGCGTCCTCAATTCTTTCTTCTGCCTCAATCATGGATCTCAACACACTCATGCTTCTTCAGGAGGAAGAGGACATGGATCATGAGACAAACCAAGATGAGCAGACCCTTATAGCGACAGTAATCACTTTCATTGCCCTTGGAGCTGAGGAGGCTTTGCGTTGAGATGGTTACATGGGCACCCCGGTGAGCAACATGAGCACTTATATGTAAAATGTTGCTAGCCAGGAGTGAGAGCTGTATTGAGGGATGTAGGGCACTTGAAACGAGCATGGAGGACAGTTGGCGACGAATGACGGAGGTAACATCTGTGACAGTGTGATACACAGGCGGGATCACCGGAGTATTGGCCAAAAACGTTTATTTCAGTAAATGTGTGGTTAATAAGTCTGTACAGGGGTAGGGACCCCCTGTACAGATTTCTATAGATTCACATAGATTCACATTAAAATCCATCCGCTTTGAGGTGACAGCTTTTCCGGGGCCCTGACAGCTGCCTCGGCATCGCAGCCGAAAATGTTCAGATACTCCCCAGAATATTTAAACCACTATGGAAAGTCACCCAATGACCCTACCCTAAGTTGAACAGGGATCTCTCACAGACATAGTCAGCAATGAATTACCTTGAGCAAGTGTGTTACCGTTACACCACCAGGCCCTTGGTATATCATCCCATCTTCAAGATTTTGGTTGTTGAACAAAATAAAACAGTTCTACGGAAGAAAAAGAATGACCCAGCCCTGACTTGAACAGAGAGCTCTTACATACTTGGGGATCCTCTATATGAAATTTAACAAGTGTGTTTCCACTACACCACTGGGTCCTCCCTCTCCACAAATTACCAAGTCAACATAATGACTTCCGAAACAAAAATAAAATAAAATATGACCCAACCCTGAATTGAACACGGATCTCTTGCATAGCACATTCCTGTCCATGTTATTCTACACAAGTATGTTTCCGCTACACCACTAAGACTCTGAAAAGAATGAACTGACATTCTGGCTGAACAAAATAATTAGAACTGGTAAAAATGAAAAGAGTGACCCAGCCCTGAGTTGAACAGGGATCTCTTGCACACACGGGGATACACCACTTACCTTGAGCAAGTGTGTTACCACTACACCACCAGGTCTTATCTATGTTTGAGAACAATGAAATGAAATTCTGGCTGAACAAATTTACATAATTCCGACACAAAAGAAAAAGAACACCCCAGCCGTGAGTTGAACAGGGATCTCTTACATACATAATGGCAATTTTCATATTGTATGTAAGTATGTTTCCACTACACCACTGGGTCCTTACCTTTCATGAAACCAGCATTCAACTCAAGTTCAATAAATTGAGTGTCAGAGTAATTTTATAACATAAAAGCAAATAACAAAATGTGAAGCCCTGAATCAAACAGGGATCTCTTGCATACATATATAGGATCAAACTATAATGTGGTGAATAGAGCAATGACCCAGCCCTGAATTGAACAGGGATCCCTTGCATATTTGGGTCGACACAATAAAGTTTTAACAAGTGTGGTACCACTCCACCACCGTGTCCTTCCACCATATAAGGATAACGAGCTCAGCCTAAATATGATATTGTGCTGATTGACAAAGCATTGAATTTAGAACCCGTCAATGCAATAGTTTATTTCAGTCAGTCAACTTTGGAGCAATTCACTAGATTTGAAGTTAAACCAGAAAGTGTTTTCGAGTGCCGGCTGAGAGGCGGAAGTTCAACTGGGATTCCTATCGGGAACGTCAACGACCTGACAGCCCAATCTTGAAAATTTGACAAATACTTAGGCTCTCCTAGACAGACGCTACAACCGTTGAAGCTCGTACCTCGCATGTTGTAACAAATACTGACAAGGTTTCACCATCGCCAGGAAATCTTCAAGCTGCAAAGAACCGTACGCTGTGGGGCTGCCACATGCGCTGTGTCCGCCCCAGCGAATACGACGACACGGCCACAACACCCAGATTCACCACCCGCGCTCACCACACCCCACATTCCCCACATCTACACATTTCGGACGCCATTCTCGCACCTCGCATCGTGGACGGCGCACCTCCAACGACATCTGGCAGATGGGAGCGCCTTCGTCCATAACAGGATCGACCGCCGGAGGGCACAGCACTTCCAACACGCTCACACCGACATATCACACACGTTTCACCTCTTTTCAGCCTCAGGATGTCGTATCCGCACGGACTTCGGATGGATTAGGAAGGTAGCAGTTTGTCGGGCATCCCGTCCCAACAACTTTTGGGCCCGAAAAGGCAACTTCCTCCGACGAGCACCATAACTCGGTGGGATGAAACATGGCGCAAGCACACCGCCATGGGGCTAGATCGTTATGGAACGCCGAGGGAGCGGACTGTGGACATGTAGAGAAGGTCCAAAGGGGTTATTGGCAGAGTATAAAAGGATCTGGGTCTCAAAGCAGTAGACAGTTGACTTTGGAGCGGTTTTTCCCCCACTAGTTTCTAGTGCAAACCGATTCCCCCCAATATATTGTTGACCCACACACACACACACCACTAACCCACTAACTTGTCGCAAGACACTTGACCACACATCCTCCAGACGATTCATACTGAACGTCTAACCACACTAACTCGTCCCCTTGACCTCGCAAACCGCTGCTCACGCAGAGAGGAACGACTCAAGGCGTCTCACACCAAATCGCGGATACCTTGGGCAACGACCGGCACACTCACGTCCTTCGCGAGCCGTACCCACGTTAAACCATTAGGCCCTCGTCGAGCCATTTGCAGTTGTCCCACCTTTGGGAAAGCCAGTTGAATCAACTATCACCCAGTTCAAAGGGGAAAGGTGGTAGAAGAGAGACAAAGCAGAGACTTGGATATTGTCTCGGAGTAGTGCACGTGGTGTGCACATCTGAACAAGGTATTTTTCACGTTATCCCCCATTTTTGACCCCCAACAGATCCTCACAGACAAACGCTGCTCAACTATCTTCTCTCACAAACTCTATACGAACCCAACTTAAACGAAAAAGCCCCCAGAGGGAGAAGAAGTCACTTTTGGAACCTCATTTTCCAAAGCGATGCTACAGTCCCCCTCACAACACGTCCCACCAAAGCTTGCCAAAGTTAGCCGCAGCTGGGGTGCTATGTGAAAATCCAAGAACAGAATTAAGGATAAAGACCAACTGAAACTGGGGATGATTCCGATAGTTTCAACTTCATCTGATAATTGATGATTGTAGCTGAAAGTTCGTTGATAAGTTGCAATTTAGTTCCACCGAAGTTTAATTGAAACTCTGTTAGTTGGATTACAATTTACAAAACAGACTACTGTATCCTGCCGGGGAGGGGCCACTTGAGAGCAATCGGTGAATAATGACATGCATCTGTTCTGGGCCTGTGAAGTATGATTGACGGATTTGTGCTGGGCCTCAAGAATTTATTTTTTACACGGCCCAGTCAAGGTCAAGTCCCATGGGCCGACCGATGTGTCTGAATCATGTCCGCCCCTGGTTTGTAGCTCACTGTAACTACCCAAAGTCATCCTCTCCGCTGCAAATGGATACTAAACTCGTCATGACAAATATATATACCATGAATTTGAATGTAAAATGTGGAAACAAGCCGTGTCTGGCAACTCAGCCAATACTGTTTTGTGGATCGTAAAATCAGCCCCAGGGCTGGGAGTCAATGAGGCACAATTTATTCCATCAATTCAATACACCAAACAGCCAGTTAGATGTTCTCCTGCTTGAAATTCGACGAGGGGTACTTGGGGCCGCGGCCACGGAAGTCTGGTGAGGATCTAGGGAGCACCGAGATGGATCACGTCGACATTCATGGCCTCCATGATGTTCAACAGAACGCGGGAGCCAACGATTGAGTTGGCACTAGGATATTGGTCAGTTCAAGTGGGATTCAATGGCAATGTAGGTAAGGGCATACACGATGGATGGGCTGCACGCATTCACAAGTCTTAATCGGCCACAATTTCGTGCATATCACCGAAGAGCGACATACATAATCAGTAATTCTTTCAAGCTTTGACAGGCAAAGGCCCACATGATTATTTGCGGTGGGCCGAAAGCTAGGTGGAATATATCAGGTAAGATGCCTCAGGGAATTGAATAGGACGACGAGCCGACAATGGCCAGGAACCAATATATCCCGTCCCGGAAGAATAGGTCAGCCAGGGAGAGTGTATTGCAGGAAGTGAAGCTGACGCCGCCGCGCGACCTGTAGTTGTACAGAGTCATGACGAACATTGAAAACGTCTGTAGGATAATCGTCGGTCTGGCGGAGGTTCAGGAAGATGGGTGTGGACTGACCACAATGAGAGACGGCACTGGATAGAACACGAAAATTGTGGGCACAGCTGGAACAAGAAGCGTGAGGTGAGAATATGAGGGAGAATGCATGACGGACTCAAAGAATAGCAACCTTTAATCAAAGGTCTGGGGGAAGTCAGCACTAGTAAAATGAATTTTGATCTCAGATGCACCCAACATGAACGTAGTCTGATGCAGGTCAGTTTAGTTTTAGATAGGCCCGAAGAATCAGAAAGAGGCGTACGGCTGCCTTTCAGGATGGTGTCATTTATGATGAAAAACCTGAGGCGGTCGTCAATATCGTCTCAGTGACTAGGCTGGGTCCACGAACATTGTAGCAATTTCAACTGAACATTTCAAATGTCAACAAGAAATAACGGAGAGCAAATCTCATACTAAGTATGGAAGGCAAGAGGATGTACAGCAGCAGGCGTGATTTCCTGAACAATATCCAGACTCTTGAGGCAACTGCCATCAATTTCCAGGCAAAAACTGTGGACCGTCTCTGACCTCAAGAGTAGGATGATATCTGAAGTGACGATGATGAGAGTGGCCGCCACACCTTGCATCTGGTGTTCTATTAGAAGTATAATCCAAATTCCAGCTCTGCAACTCACTAGGAAGTAAGTGAGACAGCTGAAGGGGGTGAATGTGGAATAGTCAAGTTATAACAGGTGAACAAAACATACGCCTAGATTTCCATTAGAATAGATTCTAGTGAAGGATGCAAGTCATGCCTCGTCGGTTTTAACTTCCCGTAAGAGAACTGGCGAAGTGACAGTGAGGCTGAGTCTATGCGGTCGGTTGTAGCTTACCACTGGTGCTAATGCTGGTGAATCCGTGATAAGTGAGCCGCCAGTAATATTTTGAAAGCCTCGCACCAAGTAATTGCAAGGGTGAGGTATCGATTCTAGGTTATCTCAGACGCAGACATAAATATTAGATTAGGATAACCGCACCCAAATCTAATGCGGACGTCAACGAATGTACCGGGAGGTATTCGTGGTCACATACATAGAGATAGCAGGCCAGAGATTTAGGCCGCATCCATATGAATCGAATCTTGAGGAGCGGAAGTCAGCTAGGCGCGGCACCAAGTAGGCGAAGCTGACGCACCTCCAGGTCAAAAGAGAGCAAATGATCGTAGCTGAAGGCTTCATGTCAGCCAAGACTCCTCGTCCAGTCAGTTGTAATACATCAAGAATGTCAGTGCGGCAACTGGCACATATTTGTGAGGGAATAACGAACGGCATGGAGTTTGTGGCCGCACCTGCGAAGTAACTGGTAAGCTTGCCATCGCTGGCTACTTGTAGCAACTCTTTCACGGCCTCTTCAGGCAGAGATTGAAGGTATTCGACCATGCTAGGTGAAGTAGTGTGCGAGAAGGAAAGAGCCAGATTGCGTTGTTTAAGACCCCCGACGCGGGTCCAAGATATCAGAAGATATCAGACGAGACGGAATAATATATCATTACATCATCCTCGACAAAAGATCATCTCCAAAGTGGATTAGAACGCTGAGCCAGTTGGCCACACAAGCTCCTTACGAGTCAAGAGTTGCGCAATATTGCCAGTGACCTCAAGTGCCGTGCCGGCGGACGGCGCGATTATGCTGCTACCGCTCCTCTTCCTTCTCCTACTATGAAAGACGGGTATCAATCAACCAACGTGAACAGAGCGCCAGATACCTTGAAGACCCCAAAAGATTTCTGCAACAGCGGAACAATCGATTCTGTTAGCACATTTGGCCCTCGAGCGTCCCCCAGCTCCAAGAACATGCTAGGAAGTTCATGGAGTGCAAAGCTGCAGAGTATTTCCGGGCTGGATTTCCATTTCCCAAAGGCCGATACCCAGGCTCATGGCGGTCAGAAGGAAACAGCTCGAGTGTCGCGTGAGAATGAGAAATTGGCCGATCAGAGTTCGATTTCCGCTTCCGCCTCCATCTTCTCAACACCACCACCAGTAGCATTTATCGCTGTACCTATACTCGTCTACTGTTTGAATCTCTCTTAATCGGTAACATGACTCTCACACACTTTTTTGGCGACTTCTGGCGACCTCGGCGCCGATTATGTTGCCATTGCGGTACTGATGTTTCCTGTGGCGCACTTCAAGCCCAGTGAAAAGTCCATATGCGCCGGTATGCCGAGATAGGCTGAGATAGGCGCCTGCCGAAGCTTCATACCACAGCCTACCAGAGGCTTCAAAACTGACCGTTTTCATATGGCTCGTATGCG